TCGTGGGCCATGCCTTTGGTGTTGTATTTTAAAAAGTCATTGTGGTATGGAGTCTCCAGTTCTGCAGGTAAGGAGCTCAAAAGTTGCCATTTTGTCCTAAGAACATGTAAAAGGCTGAACGGAGTGAAAAATCAACTTTCTAGGCTACAAAATAGAGGCGAGGTCACAGGGAAAACCGCTGTCCCTAAGATGGGAGAGACGGACTGACAGGTCAATACTGAGAATAACAATTTCTTGGAGTTGAGACTCACGAGTGGAAACTGCTGTGGGAACCAGAGCCGGGTAGGAAAACCAGAATTGTAATTGATGAATTGCTGGAGGCTCAGTATGGAGAACTCAGAGTTAAAAACTCCAGGGGACCCAGTTAAAGGGAGCCACTACAATTCTACTCCATTTATTTCCAGGATCTTAAAGAGGTTTCCACAGTAAATACTGGAGAAAAATCTGCTTGTGCTTCTGGCCACGGGTGGAGAAAGGAACCATGTTGAAACTCCACAGAGCACACTGTTCTTAATAAGCCCTGCCCTTGGAGAACTAGTAAACTGGAGCCTAAACCGGCAGCTGCTCATTCTGTGTCTTGAAGGTCCAGGTCCACTGCAGCACCCTGGGTTCCTATCTAGCAGAAAGCTCTATTTAGTTATCATAGCAACTATGTCGTAGTAGGAGTATACCCATTTTTAAAGATGAGGTAACGAGCACAGGGAGGATAAGGAACTTCCCACGGTCACATAGCTAGTAAGTGACAGAGACAGGCGATCAATTTGGGCTGGCTGATGGCAGAGCTGGTGGTCTTAATCCTGTAGTCTTTTGGCAAGCTCGTTGCACTAACAGACTATCTAGTCACCTAAACTTCTGTTATACTTCCATTTTTTTCCCCTAGGACCCCCCAAAACATCTGATTTATATCATCATAACCATTTTCCAAATATTCCTATTAAATAACTATTTAGCAGTTTTCCTACTTGGTAGATAGAAAAGTAGAGACATACGGCCCTCACAGAAATTCTGTGGAATTGTGAAACTATTTAGTGGTACATGGCAGTCAAAGTTTGACAGCCCTACAGACCTCCAGTAAATCACATCCATGGTTATCTTACACTTTTATTACTTTTATTACATACGCCTGATTTGCAAGCAGAATTACGAAAGTAAAGATGAATAGATTTACTTTACAAATCATCCCTTGGCCCAGAAAAGTGTGCCAAGAATCATGCAAAATGAGCATGTTACCTACATACTGTCTTACTTTTGCAAAGTTGTTTTATTAGCACTGAATGGGAACTGGTCAAATGAAGACACACACACACCAGCCGCCTCCATTTCTGCTGTTTCTAAGTACAAGTCTTCAGAGTACATGCCAACCAGAAAGCCTGGCAGCTAGGCCCCAACTTAATGGGAACAGAGAACCTTCCATTATTTTCAGTATAATGCCAGGTGCTCCAGCTTGGAGGCCCATTGTACTGTCTTATGACTATAAAATCATGAGGAAAAGTGAACCGTGCCAAATGATAAAGGTTTACAAGTGCCGAGACACTGGGTCACCGCAACCAAGGCACTTGATATAGCCAATGTCATTCAAAACCAGTTCTTTAAAATTTGCTCTCAGAAGCACCGTCCCTTCCTATTAAGAGGATTTAGTTTTCTAGCAAGTATTTTCTGCAGAAAAAAAATCCAACCCCTTTTCTACACGTCCCCCAGCCCCTGATCCATGGTGGCTTCAAGCCATAAAAGCAGGCCCTGGGAATACTTCTGTATCAGGAACCAAACCAAGGTGCTAAAACTATAAGTTGTTTATTTTATATTCCACTTGCTTTTTGTGCACAGTTCAGATCATTTCTATTTTCTAAAACAGCAATAACCAAATGAGAGCATCCGAGTCCAGTGACATTTAGAATATGATCTTCTCATGAGTCACTGATGATGGAAAACCAAAGTCACTCATCTTGCTGTTTTCATTCCCGCTTAAACACTCACACACAATACATAGACACCGTGTAGTGCATATCAATTGGTACCCTGGTCTGAGATGGAAAGAATTCTGGAACATAAATTATTTCACCACTTTTGAGTCTGTTTCTTCATCTGTAAAATGGGAATTAAAATACCTATTTTGCAGGGTTGTTAGAAAATGTATACAAAGTACCTGGTTCATCACATGGACACAGTAATAGCTCTATTTGCAGGGTTGAGAGTTCTTCCATGTACTTAATTTACGTCTCCTTGCAACTCTGATGATCCTTTTGACAAAAAAATTACTAAGTTCTAGCTGCTAATTTGTTATCTAATAAATCACTAGGCATGGAGAGGAGAAGAAAAAAGAAACAATTTTCTTAGTCCTACGTGCCAGGACTGCGCTAGGCATTTACCGTTCACCGTCGCGTGAGGCAGGTATCCCTGCCCTCCCGAGGTGGAGAGAGTGAGTCTCTGAGCCACAGAGGTTGGGCAGGGCCTCCGAGCTGCCCTGGGAACGTGTGAGATCTGCCTCCAAAGCACGTGCCCTTTCCAGAGACATTTCTAAAAGGAAAGTGTGCTTCTCCTGTTACTGCTGTACTTCAGTAACTCCCACGTGGGCTTAGAGGTGAGGATAAGGGACGTCCAGCACAGATCACATGGGAGACGAGAGGGGCAGTTGTTATTTGTATCCTGACAGTCTTAGGTGAGTTGTATTAAGGTTGGTCAGGCTGCAATGAACAAACAGGAAAACGAAAACGCTTCGGAGCTAACTGCTATCCACATACAGTATACTTTAAAAATGTTTTTTTTTATTGAATATTAAACAATTACAAGTACTGTAAGTTAGACATTTAGCCAAAGCACAATTACAGGTTAAATATAATCATAAAGATGTCTTAAATAGAAACCCACCATGCAGGCAGGTTAATTTCCTTGATGCCCCCTTTTAGAAAGTAGAGGGTGACAGAGAAAAAGGTCTTTAATTCCACATGAAAGATAGTGAAGACTAGAAGAATTTACATGCTGTAAGCGATTTTCTATAACTAAACAGATAGGGTTGCCAGATTTAGTAAAATGAAACCAAGCAAAAAATTGGGATGCTCAGTTAAATTTGAATTTCAGATAATGAAGACTTCTTTTTTTTTTTAATAGTAAATATGTGGCAAAAATGCATGAAACATACTTAAATGAAAAAAATTAATTACCTGAAATTAAAATTTAACCGGGTGTCTTGTATTTTATCTGGCAGTCCTACAAATAGACAAATGCAAAAAAGAAAGGAGAGGGGATTGGAACCCCCTGCAACTGGTGGGTCACACAGAGACTAAAAATAAAAACAATAACAATAATGAACCAAAGTCACTACACTGGTTACTTAACACAGACCAACATCACAATGAGAAAATACAAGTACTACAAATGCTGTTACCAGGAAACATTCTAGATTTCCTTCAAGCTGGTTTTATAAATGTTTTGGAGAAACCTTGTTGAAAAAAGTACCTTTTTAGTTTATAGGCATCAAAGACAAATATTACTACCACAAAGACAGGATGAGCTTGAAATAATGGAAGCAGAAGCAGGTATTATATGCACATGAAGAGTTTAAATATTTTGTGTAATGAATACAAGGGTTATAGAGTTAAGGTCATCTTCCAGGTCTAGGCTATTAGCCTCAAAGATTTTAGTTCTTTTGTGTTTTCTAGCTTTTCATCCTGAACCTTGGGAGGGGCACAGGAGTGTGTGAGAAACACCCCACTACCAGAGTTTAACTGCATTTCTCTGCAGACACTGCATCAACAAAGGGCTTTTGTGGCTACCTGCAGAAATAGGTAGACAAATAAAAAAAATAACAAAACAATCTGAATTCTGGAGCATGAGAAGTCTGTTTGAAAAGATGGGTGGCAGGGTGGGTATGGAGATGAGAAAATGTAAAGCAGAAAAGAAAATGTGAAAGAATGAAGAGTCAAAATGCAATCATCTGACAGTGTGAATATTATTTCAAAGGAGGTAGAACCCTCTGGCAGATGTATAAAATTGTCACACCATGAGCATATTTGGTCTTAAGAGTATATAAAATCTTTAGCTTCCTACTGCTTTTCACTTATCACCATGGTTTATCTTTTACAATGATTAAAAAACGGCTGTGCGACACTCAAATTCTACACGGTATCACTTTTTGAGTTTTCGCAGCGTCCCCACATACACAAAACTTAATAGGTTTGAAATCTTTCTAGCATTTCTCCAAACCAGATGATCTGGTAGCTGGGGAATTTCAGATACAGAGAAATTCAAATGGGTTGATTATATAAGCTCCTTTGCATGTAAGGGAGCATGATCTAAGAAATATACCCTCATCAAATAAGCATAACATGTATGAAATACAGGGAGACATACCCGACTCACTGACACCTTTCAAACACTAAGAAATGGAATTACAACTTTTTATTTGTTAGGATATAAAAGGTTAAAAAGGTTCTAATATAGTTAAGGCTTTCTTAAGAAATATTTAACTGTCTTTTAATTTCAGAATGCACAAAGTGTCTGAAGAAGCCTCACCTTTAAGGGTAGTTTTTGAAAAAATGCATTTCCTTTTTATACGCTAGGTATGTCCAAAGCTCAGATATCATCTTCACGATTACTTTCTTTTCCTTTCTCTGTCACTGATTTGATATCAAACAAGTTTAACTTTAGTCCACATATATATTTGACACACGAAACCTTATCTTAATGTCAGTTTTTAGTGTTCCCTGAATGACTAAAATCTTTAGCACTATGCAAGATAATTTCCCCAAAGAAAACTGTCATATCACGAACATTTTTGGTAAGTAAGAAGGCTGTTTATCATAGGTTATCATACAAATGGGATCTGGACATGCTAGAGGAAAGGTGCTTAAAACCACACACCATTCTTGTTTGAAGGACAGTTTACAGAAATGCAGAGAGTGCACGTTTAAAAAGAGGGTGAGCAACGTCCAATAACCATTGTGCAATTGGGAGATGTAGTGAAATAGAGAAAAACGCGGACAACTTCTTGTATTCTAATGCTGTTCTTCCAGCATACGCCAATTTTTTTTTTTTTTTTTTTGTATAAAGGCTATATTAGAATATTAATCTATATTAATCTTATTTGTCATATTTAGGCATTTCTCAGTATATACCAATGTACTTTGCTATTTTGAGAGCAAAGGGAAATTAGTCTAGCCACTAACAACATCAAGCTCAAATGAGCACAAGGATGGTATTTCATGAAAAAATCCCAATATTGTATATTCTACTTATGTTACTGAAAAGCTAGAAATTGCAAATTCCGAGAAGGAAAAGGTAAATAAGAATCTTGGCTGTACTGCTAGTATTTTGCATAGAATTAAAACTCTGAGTTCCATGCTGTCATTTGTTAACAAAGTGGCAGAATCTTTTGAGCAGAGCACATGAGGACTAATACCTGGTTCTTGTGATATGGAAACAGAGAGGTACAGTCTCCTTTTGCAAGACTCAAAAGGAAGAAAGGAGGAAACTGAGTAGGGTCGAAGGTAATTATTGGTGTTAATTATAATTCCAGACCAGCAATCTGGGGAAAAGGGAAGGAAGCCAAGTATAAGGAGGAAGTGTCCAATCCAGAGCTCTTAGCTTATGCCTGACTCAAGTATTCAGGCTGGCAATGCCTGGTAAACTGGAACCATCACATCCAGAAGCCCTTTGATTTTAGAACTGCATAAAGCCGGTAGAGGTGTCCAGATTCAATCTTCCATCCCAGAAGCGCCTGTTCAGAGGAGGTCATACTGGAAGTCCTCAACTTGCTAGTGTTTCTATATAGCGCATGTACAAGAAATTAAATGGATTTTAGCCTAATTTAATGCCATGCTTTTATATTCCAAAGGGTTTTTCACACTGCTATAGATGGAAATTCCAAATGTAATCAACGTTTGCCAGCTTGAGTGAACTCCTGATGACCTTTGGTTTTCAAGTTTTCAAAAATGTATTTGGCTCCTTTGAGATATCAACGCATTCTCTTTAGCAGATGAATAATATGTACACATTCTTTCAAGAACTACTATATACTTGAATCATTACAAGACAAGAAGCACTGCAAAAGTCTTCCTTACATAGTACCTTTACTCGGCACACAGAACGATACATAACATTGGCAGTTTAAATATTGAACCACAGTTTAACTTCTCAAGTGTAAGGCTGAAGTTTAAAACTGGCACAACCATTAATCTAGTTAGTATGATGGAAATGACATATAACCACAGTTGGGTAGTGGCTTATCTTTTTCATGAAGCTATAAAACTTTTGGTATCTATACCATATTAACCCCTTTACTTAACGAAAAATCACAGCTGTGTTTACCATTGAAAACTATATCTAAGTGGGGAGGCAAGATATATACACTTTCACAGCTACTGATAACTACACAGATGTCAATTCTTTTAACCCATTGTTACACACAGCAAAAAAGAAGGGAAGGAGGAAAAAAACCCTCTGGATGAATATCAAACTTCGAAGCTTCATATGGAATTCTAGTGCTATTAAACAAGTAGCCAAGACACAAACACCCAGCTCGGGCCACTAAAACTTCAATAGAAGCAACAACTGAGGCTAATGTTTTATTAATTTTGAGGACCCATGCAAGATTCAGCTATTAAACTCAAACTAGTTCCTGATGCCTAGTTCTAGCATTGGATTCAAGCCAGAAAAAAAGCAAAATATAAATTTTAAGAGCCTATTCTAGAATTTTTGCATGTAACCATTTTATTTTATTTTTTAGGTGATTAAATGAGGTCACAGCTTTAACAGCCTGAATTAAATTAGTTTTCAGGACTTTAAGTTGAAATGGCAAGTTTGTGTCACACTGTTTTTCCTTATTTTTTAAACCGCGTTTATTTTAGTTTTGCTTCTAAGCTGAGTAGATGCATAGAATGTCCAAGTAAATAAATTAATGCACTCAATATTCAGTTAAGGTGAAAAGGGCAGGCGTAAGAACTGTAATGGTTAATTTTTTACAAGTGTCAACGTGTACTTGGCGAACGTTGATTAAATAAGCAGAACAAAGTAGTAATTTCATGAAGTAACAGTATGGTATTTCTCCAATTTCATTTTAGAAAAAGAGCTTTGGTTTCAAATTTTTGTTCTCCTTGTCTATGAAGCAGTTTGAAAAAAATGGTTCAAAAATTTAGTGCAGAGATCTACATAAACTATTTAAAGCACCTCACTCAAAATAAATCTCAAATCTGGAGTAAACAAAAAGTTCTTGCATTTGTGCATATCTATCTACTAAACAATATATAAACCCTAGCTTTCTAACCCAGAGAAACAATCAAGTAATATTTTTGTAACTCCAATGAAGTTCGATCATTGACCAAATTTGGAAATAAGGCAGCTTATTTTGGAGGTGACAAGTCCAGTGGTACAGATTGAGAAGTGTTTTTTCTTTGAGGAATCCCTGCAGTCCTTCTCTGCTGCAATAGTACAGAACCACAAGCTCCTCACCTGTCCTAATGCTGCTTCTCCTTTACAGCCCTCCCTAGTTGTCCTACCTCTGACTGCTATGATAGTGTCACTTAAATCTTCCCTGGCTGTGCTCCTCTTGGCTTTTCAGCACTGTTCTGATGCCTCTGAAGCAGGCCTGTACCGGAGGGAGCAAATGGCCCTCACCGGCTTTGACTTCTCTGAACTTGGGAGCTCCTAAATCATGTTGATGTTTATGCCTTTCTCTTGTAAGACTGGCCAATTAATACAAGGAAACAAAAACTTGATATTTTCCCTTTCCATCTCAATTTGCGTTTATAAGTACAGATATAAAATAAATTAAAGTAAAAAAAAAAAGTGGAAACTGAGTCTTTGCTCAGCCAGAAGCTTGGGTTGCATTGCTAATGATTTTAGTCAGTGTGACTGTGCAAAATATCCTTAAGAAGGCTCTGGCTCATTATCAAAGTAAGAAAAAAAAGAACCAAAGAAAACAAGTCAATGATGCATGTTTAGAAAAAATTAAAAGTGAGCCCGTCATCTGTGTATTTGTTACATACACATGCCATATATAACAAAGCAAATGTAGTGTGTGAATTGTGAACATTTGGGAAAGTATTGGTTACGTTTTCTTTTTTCCCCATTTCTAAGTCTAGATCAAAGTAATCTTATTTTAGAAATGGATAATTGCAATGAAAGTGAGCCTGAGATATATTAAAAGGCCGCCCCTGTAAACATTTCCTCAAAGGGAACAGTAGCAGTTGAGTATGTATCAGTTACTCATACTATATTCATCACTATAGCAATGCTTCATAAAAGAGACAAACAGCTTATTCTAGGCTGTCAGGGATTTACAGAATATTGATTTTGTTGGAAACAATCCATTGTAATCCAGTCCCAGATTTAAATTCGATCTGGCCGTTACTGGTAGGCATTCACTAGGTCTTCTGCTCTGCAGCTGTCGCAGTCTGTGAAGGAGCGTCAGGCTTCATGATCTGGTATGTGATGAGATACTCTGGGTATGCCTGGAAAGGATAGGAAGAACACAGGTCACCCTTTTGGCAGCTGCCATATTAAAGCCTTACTTAACGTGGAAGCCTCAGAGGCTGTTGATTCTAAGTAATATTCTACATACACTCAGGAGCCTATGGAGGCCAGCCAAGAGGTACCTGAACAAGTAGAAGATCCACCTACATTGTATGTATATAAACATGTATAATCTAGTAAATTGTTAAAATGTTATTTCTATTTTCAATACTAAAAATGAGTTATACTGCTGCATTCATCCCTCATTAGAGAGCCATAAACAAGAAAACTAAGTCAAGAGAAAAATAGTTTTTACCTTATCTATCATAGTGCTCAATATAGCATGTGCTCAATAAAAGTTTGTAAATAAAA